TCAGGGGATCTCGTAGTCGAGCAGTCTCGACTAGAGCTTTCTTACTTGTTTCTTGACTGATATTGGCAAAATCTACGTTTAAGGTTGCCGAAGATTGTAGATTAATGAATCCGCGTGATTCATATCAGTGAAACAAGTATTTGCAATAGATAATAACCTTACTTTATCAGCAATGTTTGGTATTTATAATAATACAAATTGAACACATATAAACATTAAATTATTTGCATTTAAGGGATTTTATTTTAGTTGGCTTTAATTTATATTCTCTTAATTATTATTATGTTAACTAACCTGGCCAAAATGAAAATTACATTCCCAAAAACATTGTTTTTTTTTTTTTTTTTTTGTAAGTTTTTTCACAAAACCAGTAAACGCTTTAGGGAAATTCTCTTGTTTTGTTGCAATTAAAGCAATTACTTTAATCATGTCTCGTTTCGTTTTTACAGTCTTGATTTTATATCAGTTTATTATTTTTACAGCTCATACAGGTGCACTTAAATATTTTTCTAAAAGTACTAAGCTTTAAGAGTCTGAAAGATAGCTATATTAAATACACATCACCTCTTATACATCGATTTAAAACTAATCATATATTTTTGTGCATATTAAAAAAAATGTAAGGTGCTTATTAATCATTCTTCTAAAATTTCATTGTATTACTTTTCTGGAAATATATATAAACCTTATACATTCGACTCGTTTTTTCTTTTATGATTTGTTTGTGTTTGCATTCTAGATTTAAGTACTTTTTCTGAAAAGGCGCCATATTAATTTTTAAGGTTTCTATTTACATTTATATAATAATTATCTTCTAAAATTTTACTTAAACAAATCAACTTATTATTTCCTTTTAAAATAAAAACAAATACTTTGAATATAGAAAAATAAGTCCCTTTTGGTTGCTAAATATGGACAATAATGTATGAGATTCTAGTCTGGGAAGCTCTTAAGATTATTACTCATCCCGATTAATATGAACTACTAAAAAGACTATTCGCCACTAACAGAATATCACCTGAGACTTTTCCACAACTAGATTCGTTAACAGATTGTGCATTTAATGCTGCGCGAAGCGGTAACAGGAAATCATTGTAGAGATTAGAGCTTAGCTGATAGCTTTCAATAGCCGCATAGATTGTTTTAAATAATGGTTGTTTATCGGAATGGAAATAGCCCCGATTACCGTGTATTAGCTTTATGCCTGAATGAGAAGAATTGCAAATACTCATATACATACAGTGGTCTGGTCGATAGTTATATTCACATGGAATTATATATAGTTTATCCGGGTGGTAATAAAAAAGAATATTTATAATATCTTGATCACCCCACGTAATTCGTAGTTTAAATTCTTTATAAATGGGAAATACATGCTGCTCCCAATTGAATTGCCGCATGCGTGTTAGATTCATAAGCATGACTCCAGAGTTGACGCCAAGTGGTCCATAGAATGGATGGCGTGCAAAGCGATTATACCATCCAATATTTTCATTTTCATGCTCAGGCGCCAGAGCCGCGATTTGAGTTTCATTAAATTTTCCAAAATATTTCCAAATATCCGTAATGGGAGATAAAAACAATATGTCTGTATCAACGTATAACAACGAATCAACATCCTTCAATAAAGACTACAAATATAATTTAATATATACATTTCATTATAAATAATGATAATGATAATGATTTTTAATTAGATTTACTTACAGGTAAGAATAGGCGTTGGGCGGCGCACGGCTTAAAAAGATTTTTCCATTCTTTCTCACTTTGATTTGGAAATTTTAATGACAATAATTCAAAGTCAAATTGCTGTGAAAGCGTTTCGCGCCAGTCAGTCAGTTTCTCGCTTATTATATCAGCTAATGGAGCTTCCGTAAATATAATAAACTTAATATATTCCTGATAATAGTTATAGAGTAGAGCTGACTTTATCATAACTAACGTCTCTTGAGCGCGTTGACCACAGGCGACTGCAACAATATGAAAGGTGTTTTTCTTATGGCGCCTATCAAAAGTTACATAGAATCGTTATTAATTTTTTTAAATTTAAATTTTAAAGAATTTAAAATACACATGCAATCTAATTTGCGAAAAATAATAATTGATTAAGTTGTTTAAGATATTATTTTCCTATTAGCTCCTAAAAGCGGACATCATCGTGTGACAAACAGGTCAAATAGAACCGAGGATGTCCGGGAGACTTCACGTTATATGTGTATCTAATATACCATACGTACGTACATTTCATTGTTGTCAGTGTCGGGTTGAGTAGATGCTGCATGGTCCCAATTCGGACGCTCGTGAAATATGTACAAAATAGTCGTGAGGGCCACACAACTTAGAAAGCACATGTGGAAGTTCCGCTAAAATATATTCATGTTAGTCAAATTTACTACTATTTAAATTTATTGTTTACCATTTTGTTTCTGATATTGCTACATAGATACATGTATGCACGTATGTATGTACATATATTTATACAAGTGTGTTTGGTTAGATATCATAAAGCTGGCCGCTGTCCAGTAAAGTATGTATGTTTGTACATATTATTTTTCGAAGCTATATATCAAAGAGTAGAACGCATATTATAACAAATACATCAATTTAATTAGCATTACAAAATCAATATAAATGTGTTTCATTGAAAAAGAGTAAATACTGTGTTGCGCTAACCATGAACCAGTTCTTTTGAGCCAAGTGAATCTTTTCTTTGAGTTCTAGCTGCCGGTCGCTATTTAATCACGGATAGCCCGCTCGCTCTGGCATGCTTGAATTTTCTAAATAGAATTTTTATTATGAAAAGTCCCAAATCCAAAATCAAGATGAGTTTTC